CTTGTAGCTGAAGTTCTGGCCACTTACGGCATTTGTCCAGAAGCTTGTACTGGCGCTGCAGTATGTGCATTTGTATAAATGGAGAAATGCACATCAGCACTGAGAAAATGACAAAAGCACATTTTTTAATTAAAACACATCAAAGATGTGTTAGTTCAAAAACACACCACCACCATTTTCTCAGTGTTGACAGGCATTTTGCCATTTATACCAATGTATGCGATGCAGTGCCAGGCGCAGCAGCTCGCATGCGGTGCAGACTTGATTAACTGAGTCTGCTCCAATGCACCAGATCTCCAGCGCATCGGAGCAGACAAATGCATGTATATAAATGCCCTTAGTACCCCTAATCAGATGACTGCAAACAGCCTCTTTCAGCAGCAATCTCTTCCAAGGTGAAAATATGTCACCTCTTGGTCATCTGAGAGCTGCTGTGCCCAGATGACCACATTTAACCACTGCCACCAGAGTCAGGAAGCCTCCAAGGGGAGAAAAGCATCAAAGTGCACTTTAATGACATGCCAACATATTTACCCTTATGCAGAGAGCTTTCCATTAGAGTGACTTTTCCTGACATCTTTTAAATTTAATCTGTCCACTCCCCAGGTAATGTTTATATAACCTCTCAGTGTATTAGAAATATTAAATAAGTATCTGAAATAGTTACAATCCTCCCTTAAACCACAAATCCTGTGACAGCATGCATGTGTGTGTGCTGTCAGTGGAAAGAGTCTCCAAACAAGAATGGCAGAGAAATAGGAAGATTGTGTGACTGAAGGCAGATGCTATTAACCTGGTGAGCGAAACACCTTTTGGGGGACATGAATGGAGTTGAGAGCCAAGGCTACCCTACCTAGCAATATTACAATTGCTAGGAAGGGAATCCCAAATATGTAGCATGCAGACCAGGGTAACCCCAGTAAGAAAAAGACTGAGAGCTACTGGTTTACAGGATTGACTAGTTAGATAAGGAGCCTTTCCCATGTCAGTGTGACATTACCAAAAGGCACTGGCATAGAGAATGTAATGCAGGTGCCTAGTTTCTATTTTACGAGTGTCTGTATTACAAGCAGTGGTGGCCTTAGGGTTGTTGGGGCCCTGGGCAAGAGAGTCATTCGGGGCCCCTTAAAGGCTTAATTTTGATGACCTATAAGCAAGTTGGACATTTTCGATCTCAATTTCACTTTGCCCTATCCATGAAACTACAATGAAAGTACCTTCATACAATATTGATAATACAAACATTCAGTGTAATTAATTTTTATTTTTATAAAGTGTGGGGCCCTGGATGGCCGCCCGGTTTGCCCTCCCTTAAGGCCACTACTGTCACAAGGAACAGTTGGCAATAATTAACTCGGTTGCTAACACCCTCAAAGGAGGCAGAGCAACTCAAGGCCCTAAAAGCAGGACAGTCTTCTTACTTGGAGTTAGGATTTGTGTAATATGGAATAGCTTGCTGGGCCTTTGCCTCTCTGTGCAAAGAGATTTTTTGAGGCTATAGCACAATCACTTAAACACATTTCTCCCAATTAAGGGACAGATCCAACTCCATCAATTAGGGGCAGACAGAAGTGACAATTTTCATCTGATCTGGCCACAGAAAGCAGTTTATAGCCACGATGAAACACAGGTACGCAGCTGCAGGCAGCTTCAAAAATGGCCGATTGAGTGAAAATCCAAACCCACATTGCATGAAGGGTCAGATGAAGAAGTTTCAAAACAGAGAGTCTTCTGTAACTTCTGTCTATGCTGCCTCCAAGCCTGTTAGTGCTTTCAGAATGGGAGTGGGGAAAGAGAGCAGAGGGAGTTTGGTTTGGGGGCTTTTTAGCCCCTGCTGAAGGGTGGAGCAGGTGTATAGGACTCCCCCCCCCCGGGGTTGCGGAGCTCTAACTCACCCACCCACCCTCCAGGGCTGGCTGGGGAACCCCTAGAACAAGCTCCCTCTGCTCCCTTTCCCACCCCACCTCCCATTCTTAAAACTTTGCAGTCTCACAGGGAGTAGAGGCCATTGCTAAGGGAAACTGGCTGTCAGCTGCAGGCAGTAGCTAGATTCCCCTCCTCCCTGGAACCAACAATGAACTTCTGTTTGTTCCAGGGCATCGTTGTAATTCAGATCACTTCCTGCAAAGTGTTCTCAGTTGCAGCGGGGAGCTGCATTTCTGCACCCTAGATGTCTAGGTACGATCTTGTAGCACCCTGCTCAAGTTCATGAAAAAAAAAATTTGCAACATGCTGTCATCTTTGCCTTAGAACTCAACAACAAAAAAGTAGCAAGTAGGACAGGGTTCCACCCACTCATTGGGTTTATCATGTTTCAGAGATCTGAGCATGGTGGAACAGCATCACACTTCGCTGCTTAAGACCATTTAGGGGTCTAATAGGTGGAATAGAGTCTGATGCTAAGCTTCCTTTGTGGGGAGGGGTAAAGAAGTGGGGGAACTATAAGATGTCCTTAGAAGGACAGATGACTTCTTTGTGAACAGAGAACAAAGAGTATACATGTTTCTCTGGAATTTCTAGCTTTCTCCAGGTATTTTTCTGCCTATTAAGAGCCTACTGGAAGACTGATTCACTGAGGGGTGGGCAAAACCTGCCAAGGGATTTTATCCGGCCCTCTGCAGATCTCTTGACCCCACCCGGCCCAGGTGCAAGAGGCAGACCAGGCCATGGCTCATGTGGCCAGTCCCACCACCCCAGGTTATTCAATGGAGCTGAGACAGCGTGCCAGCTGGACTCACTTCCTGGTAGCCCCAACAGTAATGGCTCCTTCCAGCTGCCACTTTTAGTTTCTGCCACCAGACCTGGTGGATGAGATCTCCATGGAGACTGGCATGGGACCCACACAGGCAGGGCGTGCTTGGCCAGGCAGATGGAAGTGGGGCATAGGCAGGCAGGGAGCAGTGGGGCAGGCAGGGGCAGGGCCAGGTTTGGAATCACAAGGTGGTGACAGCATGGGTCCAGGGCCCAAGGTAGAGCCACAATCTACTGCCTGCACATCCCTGCAACAGGCGCCAGTTCCATAGGCAGAGGCATGCAGGAAGCGGATCGTGCTTCTGCCCTGGCCATAGGCACTGCTATGCAAACCTGATCCCAGCCCTGGCCCTGCCTGCCCTCTCTCCTGGGTGCTGCTCCCCACCCACCCACCCACAGCCCCATCTCATTCACTCAGCTGAGCATGCCTTGCCTGTGCGGGTTCCCAGCTGGTCTTTATCACTGGGTGGTGACAGCGCAGGGTCAGGCCCCGGGGACAGAGCCATTTAGGAAGCTTTGGTGAGATGCTGCAGGGAAAGGAAGGGGGAGTGCTGACCTGGCCTGTGACACCACACCAAACCTCGCTAAGTGGCCCTCCAGCTCAAATAATTGCCCACCCCCAGATTAACCAGAGGTCTAGGTATAATCTGATTATCGTATTAGCTGCATCAAACTATTTACTAGAAAAGTTTTTATTGTCAAAGAGGTGCATAGGCGGGATAAACAGCATACAAGTTTGGCCAAGCTTCTAAAGCATTTCCATTTTTTTTAAACCTTCAAACACAATTTTTCCCTTTTTATTTGCAAGGTCACATAAAATCAGGTCTTGATCCAAGCAACACAGCCATAAACTAATATCAATGTCTTTTGATTTAAAGACAGATTGACAACTGACATATACAAACAAACAAATATGAAATGGAGGAGACTCTTTCTCAAAGTAGAATCGGATTTCAACATACAGTCTTATTAACCTACAGATTTTCAGACAGGCTACTAAAATAATGAAAGCTTGTTACACTGAAGTCAAAACAAGAAAACCGAGTCTCTTTCCATCTGTCACCATTGTTTCCTTGCTTCCTGGACTGCATGGTTAGTGCTGTTCAAGTAAATTACCAGATGCCATCAAAACATCACAAACTTTATCATGGTGGAAGTATCAATCAGTAACTGAAGTTGAGATCTATGGTGATTTTTTGGGCCAACTCCGAACTGCTTACAGGACAAATTTCCCTTGTGCAAAGTTCAGAGTGAGGAAGTCAGCAAATTAACTAAAGCATATTCTTTTTTTTTTTTCTTCTTACAACACAGTTATTTAAAGCTACCAGTGTTTCATTATAAACTGATGAACACTGCACCTACGAAATTCTGCTGCACATCAAAAATTTAAAGACATTTTCAAATCTGATCCACATTGGTATTAATCTTTTAAAAGCACTGATTATGTCATTCATTTTTATAATTAAATGAATAAAATAAACTATGCTCTGGATTCATTTGGCACTTTCACAAATATTTCAAGATGATACAGGATTTGTTATCTTTGTTCTACAAAGAACTGAAAGTTTGTTGCATAATTTCAGTCTAGTTTTCTACTAATGAGTAGCAAGATTACAATGTTCTTTATGCTGGGTTACTTTAAAACATTACAATCTTCCCTATTAAATGCAGAATTGTTGCCTTCATTTTCCTTTCAAGAAATAAAAAGAATGGGTAAGGCTTTCTTACAACCCTACTCCTTCCCATACACACACACACACTTCTCACTTGCCTCTGACTGAAGCTGGGTCATTCCAGCCCCCTGTCAGAAAACATTGCCAACCCCTGGTCCCACACTGTGCTGTGAAGCATGGTTTGGAACCTTACGTAATACAAGGCATTTCAACAAGGAGAGGACAGCTGGAGATGCTTCAGGAACTGGATATGCCCCATTCACTTCTCAAAAAAATGATAATGCACTTTGGGCTTAACCACTAAGCCGGCATCATTGCTCCCAGAGGTCTTATTATCCAACTACCACCCATCACTAGCTGCATTCATTGCAGTACCACAGTTGCCTCTTATCCTACTCAGTGCTTCTAACTGGGGCATCTTGTTGGTCAGATCTGAGGAGCACCTGATCCAGTTCCTTACCAGTTCCTTGCACTCTGGTCTTGTGTTTAAATCCTCCCTCCAGCATACCCTACCTCCTCCCTCTACACCCCTCTTTCCCAGCACAGCATCAAACAAAGTCCAAACTGGAAGCTTACCTGCTCTTTGTCAGGTTTGTCAGAAATGTCATTCAGACTGGAGGAAGTCAGATTTCTATGAGTCATGGCTGGACTGCCTGTAAGGACAAGGTCAATACCAATTAAAGCATCTGTTACAACCCAAAAGAACAGAGGCTCAGGCTACAGCACCATGTACCCAAGGGTTTCATGAATGTAGGCATGGGGGCATAGTGGACAATATTATAGGCCCTGAGGCTGGCTGCTTTACACAACTGAACATGGCACATTGGGTAGAAAGAAATTATAGGTTGGTAGTGTCTTCTCCAAACATCCCCCTGTTATATATGAGACAGAATTAAGTTTCCAGAAACCACTGAGAGTTTGAACCCTGCTCTGGGATATGTCTCACTAGGGTCCCTTCCTTGAATAACATCCCTCTCTCCCTAATGGGATAGGGAGCTCTCTGAGCAGTCTGTGTGAGTAGCTGGTTTAATATTGCATCTTGGGAATCTACACCATTAACTGATGCTGCACAATAAAAACTACTTCTCTCAGTGTTACCTTATTAACCTGAGCCTATGAACCTAAGGCTAATTCTGAGATCTGCTGAACAAAACTGCATGCATGACAGCTGGATGTCAGTCATAAACAACAGGTTTCCTGATCCCATATCCTGAACAGACACAGATATTTTAGCTATTTTCCAGCCAATAGAGAACAACTCAAGTGAGGGACTTCACACTTTTCTTTCAAAAAATGAATGAGAAGCTAGATACATGGCTCTCATCCTTAAATGGTCATTAATGTACTCCAGCAGCAACCAATACAGCACAACTTGATAACTATTGCATGCACCCTTATGAACAGCTTTTCCAGCTGAATCCCATGCTTTCAGACACTGTACTAGAGACAAGTATCTGACATGGAAAAATAAGAACTAACTGAAACCCTTACTCATTTCTAGAACTCTTTTGGAAACCCCTAAACAAAAAAAAACAGTGGCAGAAGAGAGATGACAACAGAAACAAGTGTCCTACATTCTCAAAGATGATTTAGTTGTGAAATATTTAGAGGCTTTCTCATTTCATCTAGAACCAAAAGTTTTGCACTATAGCAAGAGGGGCTGTTATCACAACATTTTCTGACTATCATGAAGGAACAGAAAATACTCAAAAAGACTACTGCTGGGAGATTTCGAAGCCACGTGGACCAGATTTTAGGCTGCTGTGTGGTTCAAGATAAGTTTCCTTAATTTATGGATATTTATTCAAACCAACATGCAAAGGCCAGATTTGCAAATAGAGAACTGTACTCACCAGTTCCTAACAAGAACAATGGGAGCTCGCAGGTACTGCGCACTTTGGAAAACTGGATTGTTCCACTTATGTGCCCAGGTGGTAACTGACCTGCTTTGAAATTCGAACTCATAATATTTTAAGGTTTAGCATGTTGTATTTGTCCAATTAAAGCCACAAATAAAATGACTCAAGACACTGGTGCGGATAAGAGCACTAACAAGCTGGCCAGCACTGAATAGATTTTGAACTTACAGTACAACTCAGAATCAGTTGCCATCAGAACACTTACCAAACAACCATTAAGCTTGGATTCTCATGTGCATATTTAACTAATATATTCAAATATCTCATACAACCATTCCCATACCACCTGGAAAAATTCACACAATTAGACTGAGCCACTGATAACACTTTGTTAAGAGGGCAATAATATTCTCCAGCCCCTTTTCTCATAGGGAAGTAAAAATCAGTTACAATTTTGTGGAATACAGCAGGTGTTAGTGCTTTGTATCCTCTTGCTTTATATAATATATATTCTATGACACAGATACTGTATATATAAAGATGTACAGACATTTTTTTAAATTTCCAGCATCCTAGCATGTCTGAACGGCACATTAACTCATGATGATAACAGGCTGCTTCTCCTCTCAACTTTCAGAAATTTAAATGACTTTCAATAAGGATTTCCTACGTGTTCTGTTATGTCTTAGAAAACTTCCTAATTTAGTTTGCTTTTTATCTCCATACTTTTAACCTTAAATGTACATTCTATATCAATAAACATATACCATTCCTTTCAGGATGAAAGACTCCCAGCCACATATAGTTAGCCTGCTTTGGAGGAGGCAAAAAAGGATTTGGACTTCATAATGTAGCTGTTTCTTCAATGGGAAGCTGTGTTAGTAAGACTATGAATACTCCTTTTAGCAATCAAGTGTTAACTAAAATTATTCATGTAACTTATCACTAACTTGAACAAGAATGGCCAAAACATCAAAAGAGAGGTAGTTAGTCATGTTAGTCTGAAGTTAGGCAGAAGGCAGGGTAGATTTGCACCCTATTGACTGACTAAATCACAGAGGCATAGCCTAAGCTTTCATAAGCAATGGGCTTACTTCATCAGATGCTGTGAAAAGACATAATGAAGTAAGCCTGCTGCTTAGACAGTTGCTATGAAAAGTGAACCCCAATATTTTTCTCCTGCCAATATCATCCAAGTTATCCTTGAAGATACCAACATATCTGCAAAATTTTTCCAGTGTGCCTGTGCATAAGATGGGAAATGCTATGTGAGAAACTGGCCACATAATTAGAGAGGCATCTACTTGAGTGGCTTCAAGAAAACTTTGGAGAATAAAAACCCTAAAAACTTGACAAGTGCTCCTTTAAAGCATTTAAAGTATTTGGAAGAGTTATGCTGTGTGTAGTTTGAGGGAAAAGCTACTTGCTGATGGTATACCTCCCTCTCCTGTTAACTGCACTGGCATAAAGATGGCATTGTTGGTGGACTAACTTATGTAATCTATTTTTCTTGAGCCAGATCCTATCTCATGGTGAGATTGCTTTGGCTCAAGAGACAAGACTGATGCTAACTGTGGTTTTCTGACATCTACAGTTGGGGGCAGCATAACTACTGAGGCACTACTGCTGTGCTCTAGCCTAGTGAAACTGCTCAAAAAAGGCTCTGCAATCTTGCTTTTATTTCAATAGGTGGCAAAACTCCCACTGAATTCAATGCAGAAGGATCTGGTGCCTAGAAAGGTAGCCAGGTTCTGCACCGAAATTGGCTTCTAAGAAGTAGCCCCATGAAGCGCTGCAAGCATCTCAGTCCTAACTAGAGTGTAACCACTTGCAAAACTACAGTGATTTACTCCAGTCAGAGACCAGCCAGACCACAAGGAAAAACAGACTGCCTTTAACCTTGACATTTTTATTTCAAGCAGGAAAGCGCTCACTTTCCAACAAAAAATTATGCAAGCAATTCAATCATGAGTTGGCAAACCTCACCATTAAACAGCAGCCAAGATTTCCAACAGTAAAATGAGGGACAAATAAAGCTGCCACTTACTGTACAGCACAAGTGTGAACCTTTGTTTTTACTGTTTATTGTTTTTCCTTTAACTGTGTTTTATGTTGTTTTAAACACCTCTTTACCTGATTTGACTATCATGTCACTCTGCCTCGCACAAAAGGATTTGACAGGTACACAGTTCCCAATGTCTACAGTCTCATTCCCATCATAATTGGCTGCTATCAGAAGAAAGATCTAGCGCCAAATCCCTATGTTTTTAAAACACTGCAGGAAACTAAGCCAGGAGTCCTCCCTCATTACACTTAGCAACAGCTTCAAGAATAAATCACTTTTAACTTTTAGAAAATTTGGAGTGACGGGTTGAAAATTATGAGGGCAAAAGAAGCAGAATTCCTGCCTCTCTTTCCCAACAAAATCACAATTCCTCTATTGCCTCCCAATGACACTTGAGTGCTTGGGGGCAAAATTCAGCCTTGGTGCATGTGTACTTTCCTGGATCCTTAACAATGAAATGTCACCCTCTACCAAATGCAGTTGTTCATTCTGACTTCACTTGGCATAAGACGCACTTATTTCACTTGCTATTCTTATACCTTCAGCTTGTCCACATTAGATTCATTTTGCACAGCAAATATGAGTATCAGAGCCTAACAAAATATATGTAGTACTTGGAAGACAGGGAGCTCCTCACAAGACTGTCTGAATATAGCTGTCAGGGCATAGACCAGGGTCTTCTACTCTATAAGCCCAGCTTTCCATCTAACACAGAAACACCTTGAGTTTGCAATACTTTTTCCCTAGTTTCACATCAGCATGCAACAGTAGTCTAAGATGTTGTACAAGCTTTGACAGCCCAGTCAGCACCAGGGAGGAGAGGTGGTGGCGGAGCCGCATGCTGCTCAGGACAGGATGAGCCTAGCTGGAGCAGCAGGGGCTCAGCTGCATTTTCTCCCTACCTGCGCTGGTCAGTCCCGAGCGGTACACAGCTCCACCGCCACTTCTGCTGGCTGATGCAGATCTGGCCAGGCTCCTCCCATCCCCAGCAGCACATGGGAAGCTGGCTTCAGCCGTGTGCTGTTCCAGATGGGACAGATTCGTCCGGGTCTGCACCAGCCAGGAAAGGCGGCATGCAGCTGAAGTCGGCTCCTCATGTGCTGCTGGGGACAGAAGGAGCCCAGCTGGGTCTGCACCGGGCAGCAGAAGCAGTGGCGGAGCCGTGTGCTACTCAGGACTGACTGGTGCAGGCAGGGGGAAAGCCGCCTTTCCTGGCTGGTGCAGACCCGGCCGGGTTCATCCCATCCGGAGCAGCATGCAGGTGAAGCCAGCCTACCAGGTGCTGCTGGGGATGGAGTGAGCCCGACTACCAGCAGAAGTGGCAGCAGAGCCTCCTCCTTTTGGGAGCAGCTGGCACAGGTAGGGGGAAAGTTCTGGGGGAGGTCTGATGCCCCTGAAACCCCACTGCTGGGGCAGGATGTTAGAGGGGTCACAATCCCTTGCTACCTGGTAAGTTGTGCAAGGGGAGGGACTTCTGGTGGCAAATGTCAGAGGTGGGGCTTCCGGTGGCAAAGGTCAGGGGGCAGGACTTCTGGTCCCAAGATGGCAACAAGGGGGTGGGGCAACTGCAGGAGCGGGGCTACCCATGCGGCCCTTGACAGCTCACCGAAACTCATTAAGCGGCCCTCTGCCCAAAATAATTGCCCGCCCCCAGTCTATTCCAATGTAGATGAGAAGCCAACTGCATGCACTGCATCTGTAACACTGTTGTAACTCCCATTACACACAG